TCTATACCAGCTGTGAACAAGGGGAGAGTGCACCAAGTGTGGAGACCCAGCTGTGAGGATCAAGTGGTTTTATAACCTCGTAGCAGCATTTAAAAAAAAATAATCCTATGGCTATCTAGACATTTAACAGCCATAGGATTGCATTGTTGTTGTTGTTGCTGTTAGTTGCGAAGTCGGACCCATTGCAAGCCCATGGACAACATTCCTCCAGGCCTTCCTGTCCTCCACCATCCCCCAGAGTCCACAAGCTCACATTGACTGCTTCAGTGACTCCATCTAGCCACCTCTGCCGTCCCCTTCTTCTTTTGCCGTCAATTGTTCCCAGCATTAGGGTCTTCTCCATTAGGTGGGCTTCTCATTCCTTCTCATTAGGTGGCCAAAGTATTTGAGTTTCATCTTCAGTATCTGGCCTTCTAAAGAGCAGTCAGGGTCGATCTCCTCTAAGACTGACTGGTTTGATCTCCTTGCAGTCCAAGGAACTCGCAGGAGTCTCCTCCAGCACTGGGGAGAAGCACTGGTGATGAGATTGCATTACCCATCTCTTTAAAGAGTCATCTGCTCAAATTGTGCCCAACAAAACTGCATCCTTGTCAGGATCTAGGCTGCTCCATAGCTCCATCTGGGGGTCAGAACCAGGACAACCACCACAGTATTTGCAGGATTGGTCCCTGACCTTGCTGGAGCTCTCAACCTTCTAATGCATGGGTCCTCAAACTACGGCCCAGGGGCCGGATCCGGCCTTCCATGCCCATTTGGACCCGCCAAGTGTGCACCTGCACCCACACGTCCACCCGCCGCCACCCACCTCACCCCGGGCACAGAGAGGCAGCGGTTTGCTCGCTTGGAGAAAATGATCTCCAAGCAAGCAAGCCGCTGCCTCGTGCACCTTGTCTCGCGGCATGTGCCCACCTTCGCCTTGCTTCCCCTCACCGCGCACACCACTGCTCCTCGCCTTCCCTTGCCATGCGCCCCATCCCCACCTCAGTGCGCACACTCACCCCGCCTCCGCCCCCTCACTGGCCCGCGCACACCGCTGGCACCACCTTTCTGGCCCGCGCCCAGCACTGGTACCTTTCAACTGGCCCCCTGGTGGAAAAGTTTGAGGACCCCTGTTCTAATGGGTGCAAGCTGGAAGCCCTGGGGGAAGAGCTATGTCAGAGCAAGCTCTTCCCTCCACTGGCATGCTCTGTAATGTAGGTTTTTGTGCCATGCCGTGCCACTCCTGAATCCGGTGCAGTTATCCTGCCTCAGGTGTCTGCTTCCTGCTCTTGCCATCTTCCTGATTCTTGACCCTTGGCTTGTCCTACTACAATTCCTGGGTCCCGAATGGTTCTTTTACTATAATCTTGCCCGTGACTTCCCTAGTGGATTTTAGGCAGACTGTTTGCCTTTCCTGGGGTTCTGTGGCCCTGGACCTGAGGCCCACAGCTGATGGTTCAATGACAATCCTCACTCAGCCCTGGTTATCATGTCCAAATCCCATCAGAGCCAATGCAGCCTTGTACCAATTTCCTTCATGCTATACAGCAGGGGTCTCAAACTCAACTTACCTGAGGGCCGCTGGAAGTAGAGTCTGGGTGAGGCTGGGTATCAAGTATTCCACCACCATGGTGGTGGTGGGCCACTCATCCTGTGGCCAGCCCAGGTGCCACTGGCGCTTTGAAGGCCGCAGAGCCCCTCCCCCGTGCCCCACCCGTCCCAGCAATTGGCCCGCGGGCTGCGAGTTTGAGACCCCTGCTATACAGGGATGAAGTATTAGATGGATCAGACCTAGCACTGCTATTACATTTAGGATTTTTGGTACTGTTTTTCATTTGCTGAAAATGGGAAGATCTAAGAAAAGGCTACTCGAAACTAAATCTAGAGGGATTTTCCAATGTTGACACATACCAAGGAATTGAATAGATTTTCCTACAGTGACACAGATCATGGCTATTATTTAATTTATTTATTTATTTATTTATTTGGGTAATTCTAACCCGTCCAGTTACTGCACGTCTCTGGATGGCTTACAATAATCACCAATAAATACAACATAGTAAATAAATGATTATTCACTCTTAGATTTAGCAGATTTAGTACATCTGCATAGAAGTGCATTGTTCATCTCTTGGAAAAAACATAGCTCACAGATCGAATTATTGCACATACTACTGAGACAGAAAGACAGGGTATATGCCTCAAAACAGCCTGTGCTCAATTTCATTAGTGAATTGTGAGCATATGCGTGAAAATGTGCCAAATATTCTGCCCATCCCTGGAACCAACATGTGAGAGCAAGGGAATGCAATTGCTAGCAAGAGGATTCCTTCTCATACTGGTTGCTGCCCTCTCCTGGTAAGTGTGTGACAGTGAAGGTCAAGTTGCCCTCCATAAATTGGAGATTGCTTTCCTTGCTATGGTGGGAAGTGGCCAGGATGCTAATAACAAGCAGGCTCAATAATTTTTTTGTGACCTTACCATAAAAAATACGTTTTGAGATTACATGCAAAGCTAGAATGGTCACTGGACCATGTGGTAAACTTACTGAGAAGGGTAGATCAGAGGAAATATTGCCCAACTAAGCTCAGAAGCACAACAAGGTATCATTAGTGGGAAAATAACATTCGGAATATGCTCTCAGGTGAGTGTATGTAGGATTGCAACCATGATGAAGGCATCTCAGGCAAAAGAGTTTAAAGCCACTTCTCACTTAGAGGTTTTTTAAACATTGCCTTTCCATACCATAACTTGTGTCTAGCCAGCTTCCAGTGTTTAATAACAGTATATTACAATAAAATTATAAGAAATGAATAAGAGCAAGGTAACATGAGTGCCACGATGAATTAGCAGGGAAATATGCAAGAAAGTCAGGCCAGACTTAAGTGATAACCAGCACCTTCAGTTATGCCTAGAAATGAACTAGTAGCCAGGTCTAAAAAGCAGAGTAACATACCTTACAAACTCACTCAGCTTAAAAGCCCCCTAGCTTCATTTTGAACCAAATAAAGTTCATAGGTGATCTTCAAAGGCAGCACATGACAATAATCCATTCTAGGGTGAGCCGCAGGCTCCCTGGCTGTGGGCACAAAGGCCTCGCACCAGCATGCAGACTAGTGCAGGATGCTGCCATCAAGAGTGAAAGAAATCCAGCTTCCTAAGTCCCCAAGTGCTCCTGATTCCTTGGGAATGACTCTTGTGCTGGGCTTCTTTGCAGCCCACTTGTTCCGTTAGGGGAGCACACCTAGCTTGCTGTTTTGTTCAGCATGCTGCATGAAACCTGGTTGTTAATTAGAATTAGTTTGACCCATAAACCCATGAGCTCCTTTGTGAGACTCCCCACTTTTAGCCCCAAAGCACACATTCTAGGGTTTCGTAAAAACAGTGTATCAGATGTACTAGGGATTGAGGGAAAAAGTACAGAATGGGAAAGAGGCTGGTCAGATTCAAAGAACAAAGCAATAATCAGTTTAAAGTGACAATTCAGTGGCAAATTGTAGAGAGGCTTGTAGCATCAGCACCAAAAGGGAAAGACCATCAGCTTCTGGAACATTTCCCATATGTTTCCTGTCTTCTTGCCTGGGTGGGGAATCCCAGGAGAACCTCTTGTATTTTTCCATGCTAACTATTCAGCCATTGATCATGCTCAATTCCAAGTGGCCTCTAGAAGGTTTGTAATTGTTTATGCACCTGGGCAATTTGCAGGCTTGCCAAGTGGAGGTGCTTGGCTCAAGATGACTTCTGTCCAGGCATCTGCTGGAGTTCAAAATGGCCACATGATAATAGAACTCCTTATCTGTTTCTATGGTCCAGGAACTGGTCCATGGGAATATGGATAGAGCTTGTATTTGCAGAAGCTGGGAGCAAGTGCAGCAACTCTCTTCCTTAACTCATCTCTGTCCCTAGGAGCAAGTGCAGGCACAGCTGAAAGCTCAGGCTGGTCACACCACAGACTTAAACATAGGATACTTTAGAGTTGTGTGTTTGGTAAAGATGAACCCAGAGCACAGTTCCAATATTCCAGGAACAGTCTGTGCTGCTTAGTACTAGTCCTGATAGATCCACTTTTTGAGGAGACAATATTTTTAGTCTGCAGTGCACACAAATATGCTGAAGTTAACTTTTTTGCATGTAGATACTTGTGCATGAACTAGCAATGCAATCTTACACATGTCCACTCAGAAGAAAAGCCCAGATGAGTGCAATAGGGCTTACTTCCAGGGAATTTTGTATAGGATTGTAGCAGATGTGTACAACCTGACATTTCAGATGCTGCAGTTGGTGAGGTTCATTTTGAAAGATTAAGAAATTAATTATGATTTTCTGCTGCAACACTCTTCTGCTTTTAAAACATGTGTTCTGATCCAGGCTATGGCAGTTCAGTCTTCCCTATCTAAACAGACAATATAACTGCACCTTTTCTTCACTATTCCCTGTATAATTGCCTGTCCTTTTTAAATACCAAATGTTGCTCAGTGCAGCTATTCTAAGTACAACTAAATCATGATGAGATTAAACTTGGTTAACAGACCCCCCCCCCCCCACTTTTGGTTAAAAGAAATAATTGTGGGCAATTTATTACTCAGAGAACACCACGGGGTAACAGATGAAGCCCTGAGCTGGTGAAGATATTATTCTTGCACTTTGCAAGAAAAGTGAGGGATGTACAGCAGAGTAAGGATCTTGCAACTTCAGAAAAAACTTCTTTCTCATCTGTAAATTTTATTCTTCCAACAGTTAAGTCATTTTAGATGCTTATTAGATCAGAGCTCTGACATTGATTTGGAACGTGTCTCTGTCTATCATACGGCCGGTGGAGTGAACAATCGCATCAGAGTTTAATATAAACCAAAACGGTTGGTAGTTGTTTTGGAATATTTTATTCGCTTGTTTGTTTTAGAGAAGTTATGTTTTTTCACCCCGTGCAAGACCCGGAACTAGATAGCTCGCTTGCAGACGCTGTCCGAACCTTTCTTTGTGATGCACCTTCGGGACCAAGAGAGAAGTGGGGACCGGAAGTAGCCTTTGGAGGCTTGTATCGGCGCGACGCAGCCGGTTCTGTTGCTGCCGGTCTGGATCTTGGACCGATTCAAAGAGAAGTAGGAGGTGTGCAGAGGGAAAGATGTTTGAGTGGGGCGCGAGAGGCTGGGCCATGTGTCGGGAAACGGGATGCTGGGAGTTGTAGTCCAACACCTTTGAAGGGCGCCGCGTTGAGGAAGGCTGCAGTAAGGTGTGGGTGCGGGCGGGAAAGTGGGATTTTAACATCTGGAAGCAGGTAAAGGAACCATTAAGCACTTGGGAAAGAAGCTGACGTTTGTAAGAATACACTTCGATAGTATTCGGGGGCCTTTCCCTGGGGGTCATCAGTCCCTAGAATGTCTGCACCTGGAGCGGTATTAGACTTCTGTAAGAAATAACTTGCATGGCTAGGTTTGGAGTTAGTCCTCTAGAGTTGTGTTTCATTTATGTGCATTTTCTATCTTTAGTTGAGTATTGTAATGTCATATGAGAACTCTCTTTCAGTGTACTTGACTTCACCTTTAGCCTGTGTTTATGAGAGCTACCAACAGGAAAAAGTTAATTTCGAAGCAATATGCTATGGAGTAAGAAGTCATATATGCATAAAATATATTTGTCAAACTACAACAGTATTGCAGTATTGATGATAGTATTCTGAAAAGAATGTAAAACAAGCCATGCCTAATACGGGAAGACTGAATGCAGTCTCACTAGGATCCCCCATTGAAATCAATGGGATTTATATCTGAGCCAAACATAAGATTGCACCGTGTAATAAAAACACATCTCAGAAATGATGTTCCAGAACTGTGCATCAAATGTACTCTAATGGAATGATGGTTGATTACATGCCTTTGTGCATGCTTTCTTCATGGATTCTCACATAACAGTTCAAATAGGCAAGTCATATATCATATACATAGGCAAGACATATAGAGTGTCCAAGGGTCAGACACAACTGAATGGCTGAAAACAACATATATCTTTAAAAATCCAATAAAAGTACTGAAAATGATTATTAAATGTTACGCATTTGCTGTTAATTTAAAATACTTTTGCAGCTGCTGTACCTCCATGATCTTCAGCCCCCTCCCCTTTTAAAAATAGGGGCGTGTGTGCATTCATGTTTGCATTACTTTACATCATATTTACTTGTTTATCATAGGTTAGATCTATTTTTAGTCAAACTTAGAGTAGGCCCATTAACATTGATAGGACTTAACCTGTCATGAGTAACTTGAGCCCCACTGATCCTAATAAGTCTATTAACTCTACTAAATCTAGAAGCAATCTCTCATATGTTGGGAAAAACATGTTCTCCTAAACAGAAATTGTTATTAATATTTCTTTTTCATCATTGCAGCTTGTATTTTCATATTGCATTTCTTTGGAATGTTAGTATCTGGGTATCATTGAGAATCAGGCAAAGGATTTAGAGCCACTTTACTGTTTCTAGAACTCTCACTAATTGTCTCTTGGTGTCAGGCATGAATGGGGTCTGTACTCAAATGTCTAAATGCCTGTTTCTTTAGATTACACAGGGGCTATATATATATATATATATATATATATATATATATATATTTGTATTAGAGATTAAAGTTTCAAATGTTTTGATGGGGTAGGTGTGTGTTTTTCCTTTGAGAAGGACTGTGAGGAGAAAATGGCAGGATCTGAGCATACATAATTTTGGAGGGTCAAGTCTGGAGAGTAATGGTCAGAGAAATAATGGAGCGCAAAACCTTCATCTCAGAAGTCAACCTAGCCCCCTGCTTGAGTTGTACACATGATACTTGGGACTGTGTGTTTCTTAAATGAGAGCTTAAACCTTGGTCATTACAGTGCTTGATACTGAGGTTTTGAGAGCTGTCAAGACTGTTTTAGATGTTTGTAATTTCTTAACATAGGAAGAGATTATTAATTCCACAATAAATAAAGAACTTGCTGAGCAAAAAGTTTGGAGATGGAGTCAAGAAGGGCAGTTAACTTTTCAAAGACTAAATAGGTCCTTTGGTATCTAATCATGGTTCATTTGCTTTTTAATCATTTTTTCTGACTTTAGGCAACAAAATGGCCACAGGAGCAGATGTCCGGGATATATTAGAACTGGGAGGCACTGAGTCTGAGAACATAGGAACTATTAATAAGAAAGACATCATCAATTCTGATAAGGTACAATATTGGGGTGGTCAGATGAACTGAAATGAACCCTCAAGGCAATGAATTTCACTGCTTCTCTTTGTACCATAGCCATTGAATGTGGAGATGAGTCTGCAAGATATTCTCATAGTGTGATTTTTGTTTAGGATTTGGAGTTCTAGACACACTTGTGTAAGAAGAAATATACAGAGACAGAATCCCCTGCCAAACTGACTATGGAGCAGCTTAATCCTCTTGTCTTTTGCCATTTTAGTGGAAGTGGGAGAACCTTCCTTGCTGCACAGCCCAAGGATGCATATCGTTGGGTAGATAAGGGGGACCCATCGCAAAGACCTTGACCATTGCTGTTCAAAGCTGCAAGCATGCAACAGGAACTTACCACAGCTTGGGGATTTGTCAGCATGATTCTTCTATGTTGGAATCCTGCTAAACCTATGACTAAACTATTTAAGAAAACAATTTTAGCTTAAAAATCAAAAAGTCAATTTTATTCTTATGACATCTTTCATCGTTTCAGCACCTGAACTCTGTGCTGTCCCTGTCTTCTTGTATTTGAATGCCTAAAGAAATTAACATTTCTGTATTTGCTGGTGAAAACAATCTGATATACTTAATGCAGTTTTTTCACCATTTTGTGAAATCTTACGATGTAAGTTATATCATTTGAATGATCTGTTTCTGCTCTATTAGTGTAAAACAAGTATTAATTTGTTCTACTTTATGTTTATTCTGTAAACCATGATTTTAGGGTACATAGAATGCAGGTGAAGTGGTTTCCTCTTATTTCCCCCAGTCCCCCATTCAGACTTCCAGTGCTATGCTATGCAACAGAAGGGCAGGGATGTAGAAGGATGGGAGAATGAGGTGGGAAGTGGGTTAAAGAGGCCTTACTGATACTAAAGGGATGTGGTTCTTATTCACAAAATAGAACCTCTGCTGCTCCCCACCCACATCACAAAGAAGAGAACTGGTGCAAGTTATCTGAGGTTAAAACCAATAAAAAACAATTGTTAGCAAAACTTTCCCCACAAAGGTATTGTCCCACAAAGGTCTGTCATGATGCTACAAGGCCTCTAATAAAGATTTCATTTTCAGAAAAAATCCAAGAAATCATCAGAGACCCTAACATTCAAGAGACCAGAAGGAATGCACCGGGAGGTCTATGCACTACTGTATTCTGATAAAAAGTAAGACTTTTTCCACAATTTTGATATTGTATAGTGGGTTGCTTCTTCCATCAAGCAGCTTCTTATTTCCTAGGCCAAGAGAGAGGAACTTCCAGACTTACACGTTCAGTGGAGATTCCATTTGCCTATGCAGAGCCTTCCCAGATACTTCTGAAGTGGGGTTGGCCAGCCTTAGCTTCCTGGAGGAATTCCTGCTGCTATCACTGATTACAGATAAGATATGGCAGCAGGGATGCAGGTGCATACCTGGCTTACTGGCATTGCTGCAGTGGCCAGGAATGAAGCCATGGCTACTTAATCTTGGAGTACATGGGAAAGGCCAATTGAAGCCTAATAATGGTTCACTTAATATATAACAGTGAGCCATGTTTTTGTGCTAACGGTGCTTTGGTGCTGTGAGAATCAGCCATGTGCTTCCTGCTCCCGTCTTCCCTTGTATACTCATATATAGGGAATTACTTTTTCTCTAGCATGAGCCTTAGGTTGCTATTACATCCAAAACAGAAATGTAAGCCACAGTTATTCATGTAATACCAAAACACAGCTTGGTGTTTTATGTGTTCTTCTGGCAATTCCTGGCTTTTACCTTACTGGGATATGTCACATACAGTGCTAGTGAGTGCTGACTCACCTTGGTCTGTAAAGGTTTAGGTTGTGTACTGATTGTGTAAGATTTGAGATACAGAAGTTATATTGGCCTTAAGATGGCATTTAAGCCACAGAGTTCATGGAACAGACAATGAATGTGGGAAATGATCTTTACGCAGACAGTACATTCCATTAATTTATGTCTTGTTTTTAGAGATGCACCTCCTCTTTTGCCCAGTGACACTACACAGGGCTACCGCACAGTCAAGGCAAAGCTGGGTTCCAAGAAAGTGCGGCCCTGGAAGTGGATGCCCTTCACCAACCCAGCTAGGAAGGATGGGGCTATGTTCTACCACTGGAGGAGGGCAGCAGAAGAGGGCAAGGATTACCCGTTTGCCAGATTCAACAAAGTATGAAGGCTTGATCACAGCTTGTGTTGTAGGCATGGGATGGAAACATCCTGAAATACTCCTTTTACGTCCCTTGTTATTGCAAGTGTGAATTCCTAAAGCAGCATTAGAAGTATAAAACCATGATTCCAAAACTACTGGAAGTTGTACCCTGCTGTGTTCTTTAGAGGAATACTAGGGGACGTGTGCTAGTACTTAATGCATACATTTCTTTAACATTGTTGCCTTGAATCATTGTCCCCATTGAAAGGATATCCCAGTTGAAACCTTTGAAAGAATATCTTTAAAAACCTTAGATGATAGTCTTACAGCCACATAGTAACCTCATTTGTGTGAAAAGTTGGAATGAAGCATGCAGATTTGGTGACTTTTCTGTGTATAAATAGTGTGTGAGGGGCAGGAGTGCTGCATGTTTCAGCACCATGTGACATGAAACCCACATTTGGAATTCTTTCCAATAAGGTTGGCACTGCTTGTTTTGCTTTCTCCCTGGTGTTCTGACAGGAAGAGAGATTCATTCCTTGGGCAAGTGAAGCAATGAAGAAGAAGCAATGCATTCTTCTGAACAGATTTACTGTTGGATTGTTACCCTGAAAGCACAAGCAGTAGCACCTCCACCTTCAATAATTCCCAGAGCTGTCCTGTGCTGTCACTTTAATCCATGGAGTCTGCACTGAGCCTCAGATAAATTAGTGGAGGGAGCTAGGGGAGCGCATTGTTTTGTTGCTCATGCAGTAGTATAGATAGAATTTAGGTAATATGGTTCATATAGATTCTATATTAAGGGCACCTGTGATGAAGATGTAGAGGAAAACTATTTCTGTGCTGTGGAATCTTGCATATGTTTTGCTTCAAAATACTCCTGATAGAACTGTTCTGTGAAGACCTAAGACCCCAGTAGATGGATGGTCTAGAAAAGCCATGAATGAATGAATGAATGAATGAATGAATGAATGAATGAGAGAGAGAGAGAGAGAGAGAGAGAGAGAGAGAGAGAGAGAGGCCCTGTTGTGACTGTCTCAAACTCTTCCCTTCCTGCTGCAGACAGTGCAAGTTCCAATCTACTCAGAGCAGGAATATCAGATGTACCTCCATGATGATGCCTGGACCAAAGCTGAAACAGACCACCTCTTTGACTTGTCACGTCGGTTTGATCTCCGCTTTGTGGTCATACATGACCGCTATGATCACCAGCAATTCAAAGTAAGTGGTTTGCAGAGTAGGATGCTGCTCATAGGAGATAATTTAGTCCATGTGAAAGTGAGACCAGGGGAGTGTGAACTTGCTGGTTCCTCTTGATATCTGTGTGGCTTTTAATGCCATTGACTATGGTATACTTCTGGGGTGATTGTCCGAGTTGCAAATGGAAAGTTTCATTCCCACTTGAATAAGTCAGCTTCAGAAGGTATGCTTGGGAAATACCACTTGGGTCTATGAATTCTCTGGTATGGGTTTGGTATTTGTTCCCCATGCCATTTAATATCTACATGAAACTATAAAGTATGGTCGTCTGGAGTTTTGGAGTGCACTGATTACATAGTTTGATTTCACCTTTTCATCTTCAGCAGCTCATTCTGTAAATGAACAAGATGGGTGTTTGGCTGTGACAATGGACTAAATGAGGGCTAAAAACTGAAACTCAGTCCAGACAAGTCTCAGATGGTATTAGTGGGTAGTTCTCCTAATTTGGTGGTAATGGTGGGGGAGGGGGTGCTCAACCTCTTCTTGAAAAAGCACATTTAGGGATTCTCTTGGGGTTGTCTTTGGCACTTGAGGCATGACTGGCTTCACTGGCGCATAGTGCCTTTTGCCAACCAGTTGGTGATCCAGCGGCACCCTTATGTGCCAGATTAATAAGAGGGACCAGAAGGTCTGAATATGTAACACTGATTCCATCCTGTTTGCCATTGCTTCCTGTATGTTTGTGAGCCCAACTGAAGGTGTGTTGACCTGGAAAGCCTTACACAGCTCAACACCTAATGGAGCACCTCTTCTGGCACAAACCTACCCATACACTATGTTCATAAACTAAGGCCTTCCTCTGGATGCCTCCTCTGGGGGAAGCATGCAAAGAAGCAGCAAGGGAGAGATCTCCCTGATGGGGCCTGTCTGGTGCTAGCATTGCTATCTTTTTGATTCCGGTTAAGACTTTCTCCTCTCATGCATTTGAGAGCATATGATAAGGGCTTGACTTGTTCTTTTGTTGCTGAATGTTTTAAATTGTTTTAGATATTTGTGTCTGTCTAAATAAAGGAAAAGAAATAAGGTGCATGATACTCAGTTGGGTGTACCACTGATAGCATCTTTATTGGAGCTCAAATACCTTTCAAAATCTGACAACATAAAGCAACTGCTTTCTGATCTGCTGTGCTTGATCCTGTGTGGTACTAATCCCAGAGTCAAAGCCTGCTTCTGACTTTGGAATTAGCATGGTATAGGATCAGGCAAATGAAACTGGAAAGAATTTACTGTGTTTTGTGCTGTGTTTCTGATCAAGACAGAAAAGAAATATTTGGCAATCATAGAGAGCTAAGTGGTGCAAGTATACTTTTCAAACAGCTTTTTACACCCAGGCCTGCAAAAAGAAGTTAATTAACCTCAGAAAAAAAGGATGTAGGCAGCTGATTAAGTGAAGTGTCTTACAGTGTTATAATAATGGTGCATAGAAACAGAAGGCATGGATCAATTTCTGGAGAATGACAGACGTGTGGAATATAAAAGTTCAGCAAGTGATTTCACTGGCTTGTGATTCACTGGGTTGTACAGCTTGTAGATTTTATCAAGTTTTTCCTAGTGAGGGCTATAAACTGGTTAAAACAAACACTAAACTATAGGGATCTATTTTACATTTATAAGCTGTCAAACAAATCAAATGAGCTCCGTAGGCAGTATATAAGAGTAAAATAACTAAACAATGAGAACTAACATTAAAAATAACCAGTTAATAGCAATACTAACATAGGCTTGATCAGTTCCAAAAAACATAGCTAGGAGAGACAGAAAACCAAATACTAAAATGCAATAAAGTTTAAACATCTAAAAACCAATAAATAAAATCTATTACTAAAATTATTAAAATGGATGGAGAAGAGATATGTTTTCACCTTGCGCCAAAATGAGAGGAGAATTGGTGCCAAGCAAACTTGCCACCCTTCTCACTTCCCTGATTTTGATTAAACCATCATATTCTTACTAGAATGCAAGGCAATATATTTACATAATGCAGATTTCTAGTGAAATTATTTAGTGAAATTATTTAGTGTTTAGAAAACACTCTGGGATGTGCAGTACTGTCCCTTCTTTTGATTGTTGAATAAACAGCAGCAGGGCCTTGTATGTAACCAGGGACCTCTCTGTTGTGATTCTAGTTCTTGCAATAGGCTTTGCTTTATTGGTGCTGATTATAATCATTTCCTGAACATTTTATCCCTTTCTTTGTCCTATTTACATGACTCCTTGATCTTTTTTCACATACCAGACTTGTAACCTTTTCTCTCTCTTTAGAAGCGTTCAGTGGAAGACCTAAAGGAACGTTACTATCACATCTGTGCTAAGTTGGCCAATATTCGTGCTACTCCAGGCACTGACTTGAAGATCCCTGTCTTTGATGCTGGCCATGAAAGGCGCCGGAAGGAACAGTTAGAGAGACTATATAACCGGACACCAGAACAGGTATTACAAGGGAACACTGGAAGAGACCCAGGCCTTGGATTACTTTAGATCAGATCGGTAACAATAGCTGGGACATAATCAGTCTCTTGAGTCAATGCTGGCTGGCAGTGGCTTTCCAGGGTTTCAAGTAGGACTTTTCCAGCTGTACCTGGAGTTGCCTGAAATTGAAGCTGAAACCCTCATATTGTAAAGCAAGTTCTGTACCACAGAGCCAGTGACCAACCTAGTTGCTGGGTGGGTGCTCAGTATTGGTGTTCTGTGTGACTAATGATGTGCATAATAGAACAAACTGGTAAAACACGTTATCAGATTTTTGTCTGAGAAGGCCCCTGAATAGCCCTATGTAATACTGTTGGCAATTCTCAAAATCTACTTCTTGATTTCAGATAATGTATTTAATAAGATTTCTTTCTATCAAGAGTTAGGTATTTGCGTTGCAAGAGAATTGTTGCCTTCATTAAATGACTTTAGTAGGTTGTCTTTTTGGAGTTTTTAATGTTATGGAGTTAGGTGGTAAAGATTAAAGCAACTGTTGGCTTAGCTGGTATGGGGACATGGAATTTAAGGAAGCATTCAAAATTCTAAGGAAATTAAATTTTCCTTTTGGCTTGATAAAATGCACTCAGAAGACTCTGAGGGTAGAATAAGCTGTGAGGCTGGATAGAGCAGTTTGCACAGTAGAATCTAACTGGGAAAAGAGTTAAGAGAAAAGATAGCAGAAAGAGAAATACAAGAGCTAAGCAATTTTGGATGGTGGAGGTATGGAGCTGAAGAAAGAGGCACAGTGGAGAACCCTTTCATAAGCAAGAGCTGGGAAATAAGAGACAGTGAGAACAATAGATGAACAAAGGAGGTTCAGAAGCTGGAGGGTGATGGATTGTGGAATCAAAGGTATATTGTGTTGCAAGGTCTACACTTGGAGAATCTTTCCTGTGCTTTTAAAGGTTACATGGAAGGGAGCAGGCTACCCACTGCTGCTGCTTTTGTTTCTGTACTGTATTCCTTCCGGAGGGGACCATATTGCAGAGGGGACCTAGGTAATACCTGTTACCAATAGGTGCCTCTCTTGTACTGCTTTATCAGTCATGCTTCCCAGCTGTCTTTCTTGTATTCATCTGTAGGTGGCAGAAGAAGAATATCTAATCCAGGAGTTGCGGAAAATTGAAGCCAGGAAGAAAGAGAGGGAGAAGCGAACACAAGACTTGCAGAAACTCATTACAGCTGCTGACACAACCACTGAACAAAGACGCGCAGAGCGAAAGGCACCCAAGAAAAAGCTGCCGCAGAAGAAGGAAACAGAGAAGCCTGTAAACATCTTATGCCTCTCCTTTTTCCTTGCCCTTTGTTCTGGCACTACCTTGCACTTTGTCTGCCAGGGTAGTACGTGAAGAGTGGTTGGCTGGATCCAGCCATAAGTATAGGTATTGTAATTTGGTTTGTTTCGTTTTGGACCCTGATATTGTAAGTTGCAAAATGATCATGGTTAAGCTGAAGGAACTGAAATGCTGAGTTGGAAAGGGGACAAACTGGACTTAAACAAACCCGCTCCATTAGTAAACGGGCCCATGGTCAGCAAATGCAAAGACTAGAGCTTGTTCCTTCCTATGTTATGTAGTGTAGCAAAAAAAAGGAGAAATCAGTGACAGCAGTGAATTTTAAGCTGGTTTGTTCCAGACAGTGTGGTTCCAGAGGATGGGCAGACCAGTCCATTTCTCATCCTTGGCAATTGTACACATGTTCATTCATCAATTCTGACCTATTTTTAAAAATGCATCAACTATGTCCACAAATCTGTATATAAATGCATATTTAAATATGTATAGTTGAATGACTATATGCACAAAATATGTGATTCTAGATATAGTTTATCTAAGTGTATATATTTTAGCATATTTTATCCTAAATATTCATCCCAAATGCATTTTGGTGTGATTATGAGCCAAAAACCTGACCACAGAATGAAATCCAGTGAATGATCACATTATTATTCTCACATTAGTCAAGGAAATGTGGATCAGGTGCATTCACATCAGAAATTGCAAGGTCTACATTTCTCAAGCTTCTCTGCTCGCCCTACTGCTGCCACTGGATAAAGTGGAGGTCCCTCCTCCTCTGATTTCTGTGAGCCTTATAAGTAAGGCACACTTGTCAGAAGTTTAGAAGAATTCAAACTTTCCCAATCTAGGATTAAGTCTGTCTTTTTGAAACATTAGGAGAGGATTCTCGTGAGTTCATGATCTCACCTCTGCCTAGGATAATGCCCTCATGTTTTTTTGAAACCTGCAGATGGTAGGCAGGGCAAGATAACTTAGGGATCATCTCTGGCCTTGTGATGTCTACTGAGTCTTCTCATGCTCATTAGTCTTGAACACGTCCCTCACTCTGTAAAACATAAAATAGGAAGAAGTATCTTAGTGCCTTACAGATGTTTTGGCCTCCAGCTACTGTAAGCCGCAGTCTAGTGTGGTCCAAAACATCTGGAGGGCACAAAGTTGTCTACCTCTGATATGGATTATATTGCAAGCTGCAATATAACCTATAGTTCCTACTGGAGGATACTAGAATGACTTCATATATGAAATTGTGAGTGGTGTGTTTTATTTAGAATACCATCTGAAATGGTACTATTGGCCCCATGCAGTTTCTGGGAAAGATTTTGCCTTTCAATGGTTTCAAAAGATGAGATGAGTAGGAATGAGATAGCCCCCACCCCGCTGCCCACTTTTCTCTTATTTTCTAAAGCATGTACTGTTTTGTGTGGCTTGCTCTGTGGAAGACAGCTTTGTGGATGTCCCCAAGGGTTATGATCTGTGGCTCTCTTTTTCCCTTTGCTCCTTAGCTACCAGTGCCTTTCCAGCCACATTGTTTCGTGCCAGTAGAATGTGAGATCAAATACCCCGTCAAAATGCTCAGAGCATGTTTGGCTAGCTTGCCCAGTACTGCTTGGGGCCCTTGTGCCTGTGTGTAGGTAAGCACCTCAGGGCTCCTAAAGGCAGCTTCTGTGGATTCACTAGTGCTATTTCAACCATGACAGAGTCCATTAGGAGTCAATTACCAACTGTAGCAGGAAAACGTTTTTTTTAAATTGCATTTTAACTAAGAATTTGAATCGAGGGCTGTATCAGCATCGTCTCAACAAAGGGAAGTCATTTACTAAAGAGTCAATTGAGGTTGAAGCATTTACAGCTCATGCTGGCGTGTGAGGTATAGCAACCTGTTTAATTGCTCTGATGTGAGGTGAGAATGTAGAGTGCAGTGTAGGAAGGAGTCAGTGTGTCCCTCATCTTCATTAGGGATTAGGTGGATAATTGTAGCGGGGAAGTGGAAGAGCATGCCTAAAACTGCTCTGAATGAAATAGATTTTTATAGACATTTGGTTGTATCCACCAGTGCCTTTAGTATGCTGGCATCTATAGATACCAGTGCACATTGCTGCTGATCTAGTGGCCGTGGGGTTTCGTGTACCCTTTCTTGTTGCTGTCGCTCTGGCTTTAACTGTAGGTCACCATAAATTCCCAGTTCAGTTTATTTCTTAAGGGTACTACAGTGGTCTTTATAACAATAGTGTATGTCATGCTAAAGAGACAAGACAGTGTATCTGACCCACCCATGTAGGTCCAGGTTCTTTTAGGGAACTACTGATTGACATGGCAATTGTCATTCTTGGGGAGTGAGTAGGTTTTTCCTGTGGAAGATCAGATTGGTTATATTCAACAGGATAGGTCTTGGCCAAGCGTAAGTAAGAGAGTTAAAAAATGGCAGGATATTCCCTTAGTGTCGTTCCAGTGACTTGTGTACTTGTGTATAGTTGATACTTCATTGTGTCATTTGGTTCACAAAACAAAAGAATTATTGCATGTTTGGTTCATAGCATATCTTTTTAAAAGTTTGACTTCTCTAGAAGAAAAATCAGATTTTTACCCCCTCTCCTTTGGTAGTGGAAGAGTTGTTCAGAAGGAATAACAAGAATGAGACACATGTATGGAGTATCCTTTTTTCTGTCTTCTGGTGAGCTCTGTTAGCCCTTTTTGGTTACTCTGTTTCCCTTTAAACAGGATTCACAGGCTTTCCTTAGTGCTGTTGTGGAAGATGGGCAGTTTGCAGGGCAGAAAACTGAATCCTCCAATTGCTTCGATAAAAGGGGCATCAGCCTACTGGAACAACTACATATTTTCCTTTCTAGCCAGGTTCAATGTAATGTTATTTCTTTAAAAAAAGTTTGATTGTGAATAGCAGTGGCCTCAGTTTCATTCATTCTCATCCTCCTCTTATACATATAGCTGTGAAGGAGACTTCCTTCACTTTCTCTTACATCTGAATTCCAAAAATGTGGTTTAAGTGCAAGTTGAAGGGATGCCTGCAAACAAAGCCTGCAAGGCTAATTTGTACAGGGCACATAAAACTAGTTTCTAAAATTTGAACTTTACAGTAAACTGTGGTTTAAGAAACCTGGAGGTTTCTGCAGCTGAGGGGATAGGGAGGAAGATACGCTTTTGCCCATCACTAGTTCATGTAAAGTCCTTGCTTTATTGGGGCAGCTCTGCTATGTTCCAGAGGGGAGATAACTGAGATAGACTAGCAGTGCAGCCACATTTCATAGGTGAGCTATTGGTGTATCTGGACTTTCATGCCAGTACAAATACCAGATTCTGATGAGAAGATGGCATACTGTTAAACTTGGCTGACATTTAAAAAGTGGCCAAATTGTGTGTGTTTTAATGTGTGACATAACAGAAGAAAAATAAGCAGTATGGAAATTAAATAGGAAGACTGGGAGTTAGTTAGGCAGAGATGGGAAACCTCAGAGTGCTTGGGGCCCAATTTCTCAGCTTGGGAAAAAGTACTCGTTGCATACCTTGTTCTGAGATGAAAATGTAGCTATTTTTTGCTGCCACCAAAATTGGTGCTAGCTGCAATGTAGGTTATGTTAGGGACTACAGAAAAGGGCGTGTGCGTGTGTGTGTATGATATAGCCAGTGGGCCAGATGTTGCCCACCCATGCTATAGTTTGCAAATACTGCGATAAGGACAAGTTTAGTATTTTATACAATAGACTTGCACTTTAGTGGGAAGTTGTTCTCTATTTTAAAACCATGTCCATTATCCTTGCAAAATCTCAGCAAAGGGATTTCTATATCTGGCCACCAGTAGAGACATCTTTTGCAGTCTGTTTCTGGCATGCAGACTTTTTATGTGCCGGAATCATGGAGTTTAGTGTGAGGAGGGAAACACAGAGGATTCTTCTGCTGAATTTCATTCTCTGCTGAGGTTCCCCCTGCACACCCACTTCTAAAATTATAGCTTAATTGTCTGAGAATTTATAGTATTGAAACATTTGTGAATCTGCAGTGTTTAAACAGCAGATAAATTATATGCTTAGCTTGTAATGGGGAAATATTTGGCTAGAGGGGAAAGACATTATTCCTAGTGAAAAATGTAAGGGAGTATGAGATGGGTAGACTTTTCCCCAGCATGAAGCCCACACAGGGAGCAAATGTGTAGAACAGGAACAATAATGTGATTAAATACAAAGGGTAGAGGAGTTACATGGTTAATATGGGATGATGCAAGAGTGTATGCTGATTTATTGGAGGCTGAAGTGCATTGACTGTTTACCTGGGAAACCGTAAAAACATTTAATTATGAGTGCCAGAAGTAGGTGGGGGGATACAAACATTCTTAATGAGAGCTGAGATTCTCAAGATTGTAAGTATTGCAAAATCTTCTGTTCTGAGCCATAGCATTGTATTTCAGAGAGATTCCAAACTATATGTACAGTTGAGACCATGTGAGGTTTGGATACGCGGCTATGTAGGTATACAAATTATACTCAACAAGATTGTAATGCCACAAGATAGGGCTTGGGGGAGAAAAGTTCAGATTAGTCAGGTGACAGTAGGCCTTCTATTGATGCAACAAAGTAGGAGGATTGAGGCCAAAATCAAGGCACTTTAAAATGGGTCAAAGCAGACAGTTTGCTTAAACCAGTGACCAAATCAGCATAGTGGTTGATAATGTCAACTGCTGCATGAAGTTAGCTTTATCTGTAGTTAAACAGGGTTTTGGGGAGTTGCTGACCTGAAGAGCCTTTCTATAGTCCTAGTGTATGGATATTAATGTAGTAGAAATCTCAAAGTGCATGTGAAAGAAGCTGTGATTGTTCTTTGATATAAAGAACTAAAAGGACAGACCCACCTATCATGCTATTATGTAGTCCTGCCCATTACCTGCCTCAGATATTAGCTAGTTTTGAACATTTAAGAGGAAGGGTTCAAGATCACAGGCATGACTGGAGTATTCCTAACTCTTCTTACAGATGACTTCCCATTGCAGAAGTCTAGTGCAAAGCAGTGCTTTGACATGGGATTGGGCAGTCTAATGTGTTGGCGTATACCTATTGGCATTCCTTCATTTCATTATTTTTTAAATTGTGCTATATGATAGGCATATCCTACAGCAGCATGTTCTGAACATAGCTTTGTGCTGTAAGAAAACGGTTTGTTTTTCTTAGCATTTAAACTCTCTGCGTTTGTTTCACTAGGTGACCCCAGATTTAATAGGAAGCAGAACATATTTCTCTGCTCGTTTTTTCCAAACTGTTCATCCTTTTGTTTGGTTTGGCTACAAAGTTTTGGTTCCCTCGAGACTTCTGAAAGCTGATCTTGCTGCATGATGCAGTAAATGAGGAGCTGTGTCATGTGCGCTGCTGCACTCTGTCCCACCTGTGCTACTCAAGAGCATTTCATGTTCCCGGCTTTTTGCTTTTGTTTTCTTGCTACTTCTGTCATCTGCACAGTATTAGGCATGTTGTGTCTCAGCAGAGACAGCAGGTTGCAGCTCTCTTACTCTGTGTGAGAAAATGCTACAGTGCAGTGCCTCTTTTAGTTCTGTTGAAGGTAGAGCAATTCTATGCACGTGTTGTCAGGAGTATATTCCACTGAAGTTGGTGTGACAACTTCTGGGTAAATAGTCATGGAATGCAGCTGCAAGAATTTGAATCTTGTTATCTATTCTCCTGAAAAGCTGGCAACAGCACTGGATCACAATATATCCTTTTTGAGGAACCTTTGCAAAATTCTTTGAGGAGTTCCTGTCCAGTAGTAGCTAGTTTAGAACCAAAAAAGTAAAACTACAGCTGGGGCTTTGTTTCAGTGTTTTCTGCGTAATGTGAACTTCATTCCTCTGACCTTTTAGGGTCAAAGACGAGTTTAGTAAGACTTAGCTGTTTGCTTTAGATTCTCTTTTCTTCAATAATTTTAAACAGTCACTGACTGGATTTGCTTGTTCACCATCACTCACTGTGATCTGTGATGTCCACAGGTGCCGCCCAAAAACCCCAAGCCACAACTAACAGGCTATGGCTTCTCTGATGGTTGTTTAGCTCTTGTACTACATATCCTTGCTTGGTTTAGACAACACAACCAATTGTGGGTTCAATATTCAAAATGGTTTCCTGCCTATGTTGCAGTCCAGTGTGGCTTAAATAACCCAGAAGTTGGTTGTGTGAGCAGGCCCACTGTGTTTTCCGAATAGATGGATCTCATTGATATCTTAATGTGTCAAAGTCACCGTTGTGCAATTTTAGTGGCATTTAAACTAGGGTATTCATGCTGGTGCAGGACTCTGCACCATAATTTGCCCCAGTCCTGTTTATCAAAGCTATGCAGTTGTCTTCAGAAGGAATTCTTTTCCTAATTTAGATATGTATCACTGGCAGGTGTCTCTCTTGTAGGAAGTGGTGCTTTCCTTTTTGAGCTTTGTGCCTCTTTTTGCACTTCCTTTATTAACAAATTGTGTCTCCTTCTCTTTTAGGCTGTCCCTGAAACTGCTGGTATCAAGTTTCCAGACTTCAGGTCTGCAGGTGTCACACTGCGGAGCCAGAGGGTAGGCTGCAGTACTGGTCCTGGGAGCCTGCATGGGTGCTTGCTTTTTTCATTTCCTGTCCCTTTTCTTTTGAGAGGGTCCACTGGAACTTGGCCTGCAATAGTAACATGTTCTAGCTAATGTCTGTAATACTAGCTGTGTGTTTGCTCCAGAGGCCTACCAGAGGTTGTGTGCAGCTGAATGTCCTTGGGCTTCAACTGCTTTGAATCTCTCTCTTTGCTCTTATGTTTCTCTCTAAAGCCATGTTGTCATTCTTTCTAATGAGACTTCAACAAAGTTTGTAGACAGGAGAACAGTCCTGGGAAATTTTGTGGGGAATGGATGATAAAGCAGTTTGCCTCTGCCATGCATCACAGTGTCCACTTTTAGTTTGGCTAACTGACATTTTGACATTTGACCACAACTTGCAGATTCAGCTCTGTATTCATATCTTTCTTGCATATTGATGAATGGTGAATCAAATCCTGGGAGAACAAGTGAGTTTCACCTAAGCTGCACCAGGCAGATGTGTAAGGTCCAGTTCAAGAGGAACTTAAAAAAGCCATTATTCTCAGATGAATATATTTTGAACCTGTATCTGGAAAATCTGGATTTGATACACCAGTCCATCCATGAGCTTTGGCTAGTAGGGTTCCAAAAATAACTCAACTGATCATCAATAGCACTATGCAGGTAAGACACTATTGGTGATACTCCTGCATATTTTTGGAATACTGTTTTATTTATTTAGATTTGTACCCCACTTTTTCCTTATAACAAATTCAGAGCAGCCTACATAATTCTCATTCTCCTCCTTGTAATATTATCCCCACAGCAACAACCCTGTGAGGTTGGTTGTGCTGAGAGTTTGTGACTGGCCTAGAGTCACCCAGTTGGCTCCAAGCGGGTTATTATGTGCTGCACATTGGCCTGCATATCAGTTGATTAGGAGGAATCTGTCAAGATGCTGCACTTTAGCCTCAATTCCTCATTAGTAGAATAAGAAGAGAAGCAGCTGAATTCCTCAGGAATTTTGCACTGGTGAATTAAAAAATAGCTATGAAGATAATTAAAATAATTGCCATCTTGCAGAAAAGGCCTGGGAGTTCCAGAGCTGTCTTCTTTCTAGAATAGTTCCACAGCCGCCACCTTCAGGTTGGAGGAGGGGCAAGATGCAGTGCCTTTCATACTGAGCATGCTAATCACAATGGGTAGCCACAGCTTTGCTGTGGGACTTCTTGTCTCACAACCTCTGGCAAAGTAGGGAATGCTGCGTGTTTGAATATAGGAGTTTAATCTATAGGAAATCTTTTATAGACTGGTTAATGTTGTTTTGGAAAGGAACCCGGAATGCTATTTTGACCTCCTAAGTTTGTATTTAGCAGTACAAAGTTTGTACTTCTTCCTGGATGATTGCAGCCTGGTTCAGACTTGACAACAAGTATGAATAATTTGTTACAAGCACGAACCATGTGCTTAAAGGTTCCCCCCTTCCTTTTGTGTATGAGAGGATGTGATAGAGGTTGTAGTCCTGCACATCCAAAGGGCACTGAATTTGCAGAATGCTGCTATAGATTGAAATTCCTATCCACTAGCAAGGATTTTTTTCTGTTTTAGTTTACTGTAAGCTTTTTATTAAAAGAGATTATCTTTTGCCTGAAATCTATTTTTTTTCTTCAAAGACTTCTAAAATTTAAAGTTGTAGGCCAGGTCTGGGGAAACTCTAGCCCATGGCTTAACCTGTGCTTCGGAAGTCCTTTCCCAAGCCGCCCATAAAACTAGAAAAAGGGAAGTGTGAGGAGTGAAAGATCTCACTCTTGCTTCTGATCACTGGTTAGAGAGAAACAGCAAGGGATTTTTCTCTCAGGGTTGGAAGGAGTCTTCCTTTCTCTACTCCTGAGAAGGACTATCCTTTTCTCCATATAGACACAGAGCAATCCCTGCTTGAGCAATCACACTGTACCTTTCTCTGCATGGAGAAACTTAAGGCACCAGGAAAAGAGAGCCTTCTCCCAGTTTTTCTCAGTCCTTGGGGAGTGGGGTGAGGCCAGAAAGTAATCTGTCCCCTGGGAGCTAAACATTTCCCCTTTTCTGCCAGAAGATACTTAGTGATAAATTTAGCTCTGTTGCTGGAACACATTGTTCCCACACATCACAGTTGAATAGGGATAGGGAGAGAATCTGAATAGGCACAAAGTCATGCTTTGGCCACTCGTTTAAGCTTGTCTGAGACCCAGTTCTTGCATTATGGGTTTAGCATGGCTACCTTTTCTCTATAATTGGGTCCCATGCTTGTTGGTAACATTATGAGGGGATGTGAGGATGGCATGCTACATTACTTTCATTGTCATTAGAATCCATCCTTTTCAGCAACCAGCCTCAGTATATGAGAGAGGCCTCTGCCTATAACCACTAATAATTTTAGCTACACTCCTGGCACGCACGGATATGGGAGGTTTAGCCAATGCTTGTATGGCATTTCACGAGTTTCTTTACGTCATTCTAATTCTAAATTTTGGTCCGGATCTGAAAATGCTGGTTATACTGGGATGCAATTTCTTCCAATATGTTCTCTTATACCAACCCTTCCCCATTTTTCTCCCTGATTGACAAGGTTTGGAAATGTTGTGCAGTGTGACATATGTAAAGGTGAATAGACATAGAAGCCCCGGGGAGCAATTCGGAGAGGATTTGTTAACTGCCTGGATTAAGTTCTCTTTCTAAACTGCTTGTTCAAATTCTCTTTTGAAGTTTGTTGCAATAGAGAAGCCATGGGTAGCTTCATAGCTAAGATCACTTAATAATATGGGATAAGAGTTGCTTGAATATCAGAAAATAGCCATTATTCTCTCAGTAATGGCTTTCACTCATTGGATTAATTATGACCTTACAAATTAACAGATTTATTTGGCATTAAATACAGTTGATAGCCTTTAAATATGCTTTGTCAGTAATATAATACAACACATACAAAGGAGCAGTGCATTGTGCTAGCAGAGAGCCACACAGGGTGCACTCTTCATGTCGAATATTGGTGTTAGCTGTGCTGATTCACTGAACCTGTCCAAATCTCCCATTTGGGAGAACCTGACAAGGCCTTTTGCTCTCCTTCTGGATCCAGAGCCTTCCCTCAGTTCAGCAATGCAGATATGGCAAATATCCAGTGTACCGGAGCTTTGGAAACTTGTGGCTTGGGCAGAGGTGAAAAGGGAACGGCAGTTATAAGCTATTAGTCCTATGCAACTAGCAGCTCTTTAGGCAGAAGTAAATGTTTGAAAACCAATTGTTACTGGAAATTAACAGCAGTTGTTAGTTGTTGAAAGATCAAATGTGAGCTACTTTTTGGTTCATTTCCTTCTGAGGTTATAATCTTCCCTTCGGTCATTTTGGCTTCTGTAGTGGGATGTAGTGGCCATCTTTGAGAATGATCACTTTATGCATGTCCAAGGTCTTGTTTGGTAAATTTGAAAAATGTCCAAGAAGTGCTTGCATTTTTTTAAAAAAATCAGGTATTATTTTAATATCGCCCCTCTACTTCTCCATTCCCTAAGTTCAAACTAGATTGAAAGTATTTTTTTAAAAAAAAATAACCTTAGTATATGATTCCCTATGTGCTAATACACATTTTTCAGGGAGTTTTGTTGATATGTTTAGTTGCTACCTTATCCCTCCTTGTTAAAGAAAGTGTTGGTAAAGGACAGCTGTGTGTTTGGGTTCTCATCCAGGCTGTTGTACTGAGTCTATGGGATGAGGCAAGAGGCTTGGGCTCCAGGCAGCAACATCTTTGATAATGAGGCAAAACAGTAGGATGAAAGAAAGTTCTTAGCAGCCTCAGAGCCACGGAGCACGCTGGGGGATGCTGTGGTGCAATTGTTTAGTTCACAGTTGGACACCTTCTACCAAGAAAGGCTTCCAGCCGGCAGTTTTACTTGTTACCTGCTAACTAGGATCTTGTAGACAAATTGGTGGTCAGACCAATTAAAAAGAAATGGGGGGAAAGGGAGCTTTCATTCCCATTGATTCACACATCCACCCTCACTGGCTTTTAAATATTTACTAGCCAACTGAGCACTTTTTTTAGCACTGATTAATGAGGTACAATCCACTGTGGTGCTTGCTTTCTCAGAGCACAGCGTTGGGGTGGGGGCGACAATTGTATTATGTATTCAAGAGAAACGAGTATTTGGTCAAAGCTTGGTGCAAGGGAGGGGGTTGGCTGAGTGGGGTATGTGTGTGTGTGTATTATAAATGCATGTACTCAATATTTGATTTGCCCCGCTATGAAACTGTTGTGTGCGCTGCTTGTTTACTCTTTACCAGAGGCCCTTGGCACGCTCCTTCTCTTGGACATTAATGCAAAGCCAGACCTCATCAGCTGCTAACGGGGGAAACATCTGTCTTTCTTCGCTTGATCAATACTGTCCCTTCAGAGGCCAAGCCTTGAAAGCAGTTACATAAAATACCAGTAATATTTATTTGGATTTGATAAATTTAATTACTTGGAACAATTAATAATTTATCTCTTTAGTATTGACTGTGCTGCAAGGCCTTTTGGTGAGATAAGCTGATGGTAATCAGTGCCTCCTTATTAGCCGGAAATTGTATGTTACTATGATGGAGAAAACTTCCGATAGTTAGAAAGATGAAGTGTTCTTGTTGCTTTCACTGACACATTCATGTCGTAACTGCATGCGGAGCCAGACGCCACTACACAAATGTGTGCGATAATAGCTAGGGACATAGAGCGTGTGGCAAAGCGAGTATGCAGGGAGGCATGTGTGATTTGAATGTCATCTTGGTTTTACTCACAAATGATGAGCACTAAAGCCACGCAGCACAGAGGTGTTCTGTTGCCGCTGCACTCGCATTGCAGTGGTTCTCAAGCCCTTTGCTAATGCGAGACTGGCTGTGAATTTTGCCTTTACGCAGGACTCGCATAACTTTGCCTCTGTGGCTTTCGTGGCACATCAGTTGTGATATCTCCATTGTGGAGATGTGTGAGTCCACATGTCCGATTGCAT